ACATAAACTTAAAGACGTAAACATGTCATGTTATTAGTGTCTAACCTATACGCGTACATCCATATATTAAAAAGTATAAATACAATACATCACACAAAATGACTTATAAAATATACGCAGTGTTTTGACTAACAAAGTTACTGCTATAATTAAAAAGATTAAAAGCCTTGGGTTCAATGTGTTAGAATATTTGTTTGGTTATTCTCTTTTGCAACGGCAGGAAACAGGTATATATATATATATATATATATATATATATATATATATATATATATATATATATATATATATATATATATATATATATATATATATATTTATAGATGCAATAAACTGACGACGAACAGTACGAAACTAGTAACTAGCTAGCCTAAGCGCTTTCGACTCTTAATGAGTCTTTTTCAAAGGCAAATACAAAACATAGTTACGACAAACAAATAAACACAAAAACGTTGCGTTTGTAAACCTCTGCATTTCTATCTTCACATGTGCTAAAACTATAAATACAACCAGCTTGTATAGACTAGTTGCGGAAGCTGAAAACGTTGTATAATTCCTAAAAGTCTACAAGCCAAAGCGACATCTATTTTTACTTTGTGTACATATGTAACGCAGATTATATCCCGGATATTTGGTTCTATACCGGTTATTCTTATAGTAAAAATTGAAGGATAAAAGATTTAGAAAATGTTAAATTCTACTAGTGCATAGTTTTCATTTTCTAGTCTTCTTGGTTTAGACCGCTTGGTTTCAATGTTCTAAGGCGGCGTATCCAGTATGATTCCTTTTCCTTCCTGGTTTCGGAACTTCAGCTGTGGTTGTTGGCAATAGCGATAAGTATTATATTACTGAAAGTGTGGCCAGGGGAGGAGAAGTGTTCTGCGACCGGGCTTCTGTACAGCTTTTTTGCCATCCAATCAGATCTATGAAGGTTTATCCTTATGTGTAGCTTTTCAGTTTCTCCGACGTACTGAAGGCCACAGATCTTACATGTGATGAGATAAATCACATTCTCTGTTTTGCACGTTTTGTTTGGACCATGTATGTTTAGTTTTTCTTTAGTCACTGTGCTAGTGAATGTCTTGGTCTCTATCATATGTTGACAGGTTTTGCATCTTTTATCGCCACAGGGTCCAGATTGACTAGGTTGGTTTTGACTAGCGATTGTTGTTAGCTTGGCCCTGACTAGGATGTCCTTTAGGTTTTTTGGTCTTCGGTAAGCTACTACAGGTTTGTTCGGAAGTATTAGGTTTAGTATGTCTGACGATTGCACGGTTGGCCAGTGGTTTGAGATGATTTTACCTACTTTGGGATTGTCTGGGTGATAGGTCAGAATAAATGGTATCCTATCAACCTTTTCTTTCTGTCCATATCTGAGTAGGTCATCACGGTTTGTTTGTTTGGCCCTTTGGATTGCCTCCGCAATCAGGTCTTTGTCGTAGCCTCGGTAAATTAAATGTTTAGCCAGCTCTTCAGACCTTTCTAGGAATCTTTCATCGTCGGAGCAAATTCTGCGTATCCTCAGTGCCTGGCTATATGGAATGTTCTTAATGCAGTGTTTTGGATGACAGCTGGTTGGGAGAAGATACTGGTGTTTGTCGGTTGGTTTCGAGTAGATGTCTGTGTGTAATTTGGTTTCCACCAGTCTGGTTGTTGTGTCCAGGAAAACATGGTTTGAGTTGGAAATTTCTGCCGTGAATTTTATTGAAGGATGGAAGTTGTTTGCCTTTGAAATGAAGTCATCCAGACTTTCTCTTCCATACTGCCACTTCATTTCTATATCATCGATAAAGCGTACCCACTGGTATGGTGTACGCTCAACCGATGCTAAGAGCTTTCCCTCAAGTTTTCCCATGAAAATGTTAGCATACGAAGGGGCCATTTTAGTACCCATTGCAGTTCCATTGATTTGTAGGTAGTTTTCTTCATTAAATTCAAAGTTGTTGAGTTTTAGGACAAGCTCCAGTAGTTGGATTAAGAAGTGTGTGGGTGGATTGTTTACAGTTCTTGTTTCCCATGCTTCGCTACATGCCTGTAACCCTTCGTTGTGCGGTATGTTGGTGTACAAAGATGTGACGTCTAAGGAAGCAAGTAATGTATCTGGCAGTAATGGTTCACTAGCTTTGCTTTTTATGAGATAATCTGTCGTGTCTTGAAGATATGATGGTAATTTGTGGACATGTGGTCTCATAAAATGATCTAAATATTCTGATATCCTTTCTGTGGGGTGCCCGTTACCTGAGATTATAGGTCTGCCAGGGTTTCCTTGTTTGTGGATTTTGGGTAGAAGATAACATCTACCTGCTCTTGGGTTTTCTGGGCTTAAGTAGTTTTTGGTTTGCTGGTCTATGTGTCCGCTTTGGTACGCCTCGTCAATAACATTAGTGATGATTTTTGCATATTCCAGCGTTGGATCATGGTCCAGTTTTTGGTAGAACCTAGCGTCACTTAGTTGTCTACTTGCTTCACTAATGTAGTCTTCCCTATTCATAACAACAACAGCGGAACCCTTATCTGCAGGTTTAATTATTATGTCTGTTCTGCTTTTCAGTGAGTGCAGGGCATCTGTTTCTTCTTTTGTCAAATTAGAATATTTGTTAGTATGGTTGATATGTCTGGAAGTATCGTTTTCAACCGAGTTGATAAAGGCTTCCAGATTCGGAATTGAACTTTTTGGTGGGGTCCAGTTACTTTTCTTTCTAAATGTGGGTTGGTCGCAGCTTATATTTTCCTTTGATTTGTTTGGTGGTTGCAAGTCAAAATGGGCTTTGAGTCTTAGTCGGCGGATGAATTCTTCGGTGTCATTCTTAAGCTTCCCTCTGTCGTATGTTTTAGGACGGGGACAGAAACTCAAACCTTTCGATAAAAGTTTTATTTCTGCATCAGTAAGTTCTAAATTGGAGATGTTGACTACTGTGTTAGCAACAGTTGTATTAGTGTTTGTTACAGGGTGCTTGCGATTCTTCCTTTTGCGGCGATTTTTCTTCTTACGGTTGTTTTTGGAAGAAATTTCGTCAATTGAAGTTTCTTCAAAACAGTCCTTTGGTTGTAGATCATGACTTCTAAATTTTCTATCTCTGACTTTGTATAGTTTCGAAGAAAGTCTTTTTTCGCTGCATTAAGAACATTCCATATAGCCAGGCACTGAGGATACGCAGAATTTGCTCCGACGATGAAAGATTCCTAGAAAGGTCTGAAGAGCTGGCTAAACATTTAATTTACCGAGGCTACGACAAAGACCTGATTGCGGAGGCAATCCAAAGGGCCAAACAAACAAACCGTGATGACCTACTCAGATATGGACAGAAAGAAAAGGTTGATAGGATACCATTTATTCTGACCTATCACCCAGACAATCCCAAAGTAGGTAAAATCATCTCAAACCACTGGCCAACCGTGCAATCGTCAGACATACTAAACCTAATACTTCCGAACAAACCTGTAGTAGCTTACCGGAGACCAAAAAACCTAAAGGACATCCTAGTCAGGGCCAAGCTAACAACAATCGCTAGTCAAAACCAACCTAGTCAATCTGGACCCTGTGGCGATAAAAGATGCAAAACCTGTCAACATATGATAGAGACCAAGACATTCACTAGTACAGTGACTAAAGAAAAACTAAACATACATGGTCCAAACAAAACGTACAAAACAGAGAATGTGATTTATCTCATCACATGTAAGATCTGTGGCCTTCAGTACGTCGGAGAAACTGAAAAGCTACACATAAGGATAAACCTTCATAGATCTGATTGGATGACAAAAAAGCTGTACAGAAGCCCGGTCGCAGAACACTTCTCCTCCCCTGGCCACACTTTCAGTAATATAATACTTATCGCTATTGCCAACAACCACAGCTGGAGTTCCGAAACCAGGAAGGAAAAGGAATCATACTGGATACGCCGCCTTAGAACATTGAAACCAAGCGGTCTAAACCAAGAAGACTAGAAAATGAAAACTATGCACTAGTAGAATTTAACATTTTCTAAATCTTTTATCCTTCAATTTTTACTATAAGAATAACCGGTATAGAACCAAATATCCGGGATATAATCTGCGTTACATATGTACACAAAGTAAAAATAGATGTCGCTTTGGCTTGTAGACTTTTAGGAATTATACAACGTTTTCAGTTTCCGCAACTAGTCTATACAAGCTGGTTGTATTTATAGTTTTAGCACATGTGAAGATAGAAATGTAGAGGTTTACAAACGCAACGTTTTTGTGTTTATTTGTTTGTCGTAACTATGTTTTGTATTTGCCTTTGAAAAAGACTCATTAAGAGTCGAAAGCGCTTAGGCTAGCTAGTTACTAGTTTCGTACTGTTCGTCGTCAGTTTATTGCATCTATTTTAATTAATTCCTGACGAACGTGATCCCTTGGTGGATCCAGTACGCTTGAGAGGGTTGTTATTCGCCATATGATTTGTAATCTTTATATATATATATATATATATATATATATATATATATATATATATATATATACATACGTACGTACGTACGTACATGCATGCATGCGTGCGTGCGCGAGTACATACATACATACATACATACATACATACATACATACATACATACATACATACATACTTGTAGCTTGTTAAAGCTACGATATCAGTAGCTTCGTAACAGAGCCTTTTTAAAGTATAGGCAGGCGAGGCACTTGCCTAGGGACTCGTGCAGCAAGATCCCCGCAGCGGCCCCAAAACAAAAATGTCAGTGTCGATTAAATTAGCAGTTTAGTACTATATTAATAAATTTAACAAAATGACACACATGCACAAGGAAATGCAATACTCTATATCTGAGACAGACATTGAGGTGCAATTCTGGTCACCTTTAAGGTTAGAGTTTGTGCCTAGTACCCCAAAACTTCTTAAAACGACAATGCTTCGTAATATTATACCATTCATATCAACATATTATTAACTTTGTAATGTTATACCATTTATGACAACATATCATTCAGTTCATAATATCATTATAATGGTAGCGACCGCTCCAGTGGCAAAGTGGTTAGAGCGTCCGCCTCGAATGCTGGAAGTCGTGCGTTCGATTCCCTTTTGAATCATACCAAAGACTTACAAAAAATGATACTAACAGCTGCCTTACTTGGCGCTCAGCATTAAAAGGTTGGTGTTAGGACTGGTCCGCCTGGTGTCATGATAATGTGACTGGGTGGGACATCATGCTACATGTCTGCGGCTTGATGCCCCAGTGCTAAACATCACTATAAACTGCAACAATGAAGACATCGTAGCAATATGACTGAAAAATTGTTAAAGCTACGATAAAAATCATAATCACATCATATCAAAACGGTAACATCATACCATTATATCAAAGTGGGTCTCTACCATTATATGTATAACAAGAATGTAATCAAGGGTTTTAATGGTCGCCTTTGCGAATCTTTAGCAGTCTATGGTAGCCACAGTGAACATTAGTGTTCCTGCAGAAAATAAATCCAAATTAATGTGATACTGCCATCGTAAATAGGTCATACAAAATTAAAAACTCTAAACTATAAACGAATAATCTTTTCTGTAATATCAAATAAGAGGTACTACAATGAGTTAATCAAAAACCATTCCTTTTCACATCTGCTTCGAATGCTATAATTAGTGTCCAGTCATATTTAACTGGCTGTTTGTCACAGCATAAACATTTATAATTATTATTCGTGCATCAGAAATAACCTTGATTAGCCACTACAGCTGAATCCTCAGGAGAGTTATCTCAGTCCATCTATATAATTCCTATATCCAGTCATATATACAGTACACATGTAACCTGTTGATGGCAAGCAACTACTTTGTACAATTACATTCTGCAATGAAGATGCAATGAAACAAGCTGTTATCTTATAGGCTGAATAGAATTTACATAGCATGTAGGAACTTATATTGTTACGAGATAAATGCAATAATTTAATCGAAGTAAAATGTGAAATGTAGGTCACACTGAACTTCTTTTGGGATGGTTGTGATAATAACAGAAATAGATCCAATCATCTACCTTATTGATTTTTTTCAACAAAAGATTAAGCACAAAATTTTGTGTGTGTGTGATTTGAATTTTTAACGTAGCTTTAAGCACATTTTAGTCATATCGCTATGATATATGCAGTGTTGCAGTTTATATTGATGTATAGCACTGGAGAATCATGTCGCAGACACGTAGCATCATGTCCCATCCAGTCATATTATCCTGACACCAGGCCGACAAGTCCTAATACTAACTTCTTAATGCTGAGTGCCTATCGAGGCATGTGTTAGTACCATTTTTTAAGTCTTTGGTATGACTCAGCTCAGGGATCGAACCCCGTGACCTTCCGAATCCGAGGCGAACGCTCTAACCACTAGCCCACCGGAACCGGTAACACAAAGGTAACCAAAATCAGTGAAGCATTAAATACTGTTCACAGTGACTGAATTTTGTGACAAGGTTGTAACACTCATTAAAATGCATCCCTTGCCACGGTTTATGATTCCAAGTATAAATCATGTATACAGGATGAATGAACATTTGTGTTCAAGAACGATACGCAAATTCTAAATATAAGCAAATAAAACGTACAGTGTAGGCTATAGTGGCATTCCAATGTGTAAGGATGTGGTGATAGTAGAGATTCAACTTGTCAATGCTTAAACAATACACTTTTGAAATATACAACTGAACCAAAATCAATGATGTGTTAAATATGGATCATATTGATCTATGTCTGTCATGTGGATGAAGCACTCGTCAAGATGCATCCTCTCATTAAGTCCACGATTCCAGATATTACAGCACTATCCATACTGCATTTCCTGGGATAAAACCCAAAAGCATGTGTAGTTCATAAATGTTGTTACAAGCTAGGGGTCTTTGATTGACCGAGCGGTGTCAAAACCCTGTCGCGATTGCCCAAATTTCCAAAGACTTCTATAAAACTTGAGTTATAAATAAGAATGTCCGACGTGTCCTATCTATGCATAGATGTTACTTTAATTCATGCAAGGCGACAGATTTCATAACTTACTAAATATCTATCAAGCGCACATATGCATATTTTCTCTTCGTCGACTTTCCGTAACGTCACTAGTTCACGCCGTAAAAACTCTTCAACAATCCCCTAACACAGGGAATCACTTAAACTATGTCACCTTGGGATAGTCAATATATGGTTTCACGCCAAATCACTCCAGTAGAACTGAATCGCATTTGCGACCATGGCGATATAAACGGTATCATCCGAGTCCCTACATGTCTATTCTGTTGTGTAATTTACCGGTTTCCTACCTTAAATACTGCCACTGCAGTCAAAACACTGATGTACACCACTAGATTTTAATAGGGACCACATTATTCCAGGGACAGTCATGCGGTTTTGGTCTGAATTCACTACTCATTGACCATGGCATCATGAAAACTCACTACCACTTTCTTCCCGTGACATTTGCTCCTAGTAACTGGCTAATTAGTTCGAGCTAAGGAATATTTCCAGTGCACCGAATTCCAATAATCAAACAAGTAAACACACAAATCTAAAAATTCCTTAAACGGGGAGCTATAACGAATGCGCATTTCCAAAATTTATATATATATATATATATATATATATATATATATATATATATATATATATATATATATATATATATATGCATGTATGTATGTATGTATGTATGTATGTATGTACGTATGTATGTGTGTGTGTGTGTGTGTGTGTGTGTGTGTGGTTGCTTTGAATTCAGATTATTGCCAAGGACCTAAGGAAACAATTACAATTCTGAAGTGACACTATTCATATGTAAATACGTTTGGATGTATGGATGTCGAAGTAGTAAGAAGAAAGCATATTAACTTTCATTGCTTCCTAGAAGCCCGTTGAAAAATATCACCTATATAATCCATTGAAGCATCAATTTGCTCAACGTGACAGGTTAAATGTAATACACATTTTCAATCTAAAAGAAATTAATACAGGAAATTTAAACCAGGTTGTTGTGTAAAAACATGATACTAAAAAGGAAAATCAATGTGAGATAGATTTTCTACCCAGTAGCATTTCCATTATCGAAGATTCTGAAATCGATAATCTGCATGACATATGCAATTTAACAGATGAAAGTGTTGATGTTTGGATAATTGGATTTGTTGAATTACTTTATTTGATCTGATTCTTACTGATTTTGTAATTTGGCAGAGTGTGTGGATCTATAAATATATATAATAACAACACATCATGCATGAAATATGGTTTGGTTCATTTAAGTATTTCTATTTCCATCAATTAGGGACATTTGAGGGGTTAACAATTTTGCGTGCATTTATATTATATTACTGCTAAAATGCCAAGATATAAAAAAATGAAAAAGTGAATTGCACAAAATATTTGGAAGATCAGCCTCCCAGTCTAAACTTGCCACGACTCCCGTTAAATCTAGGACTCTTGTTCCTGACATACCTATATGCTGAGATAAGAGGTTAATTTACGGTCGAAAATAAGATTTAGTACTTTTGTATCCTCTTCTCTACAACAGGGATAAAAACAGCCGCTAAGAGCTTTGGGATATAATTAATACAGACTAATTGGCAGAAATTCATACAGTTTGTTTGTGATTTAGAAATTGTTAGCTCACTTTCTTCTGTTTTTATTTATTTCTGAAATTTGTTGACGATCATCTGCCACTAACGTTCAATGGCATGCATAATCTTCAATCTATGACAGATCAGAAAGTCATTAACATATATTGATTAGTCATTTCCTGGACCAAGGCACGTATCCATGCTGTTACTTTTGATCTTGAACATTATGAGTAACAATATGCTGCCCTGACCTACTTCCATCTCCTAAAGATAGCTTTCAGAAAGGTTGCTACCTGCTTGAACTAAAGTTTCTACTTTTTATAAAGTAGAAACAAAGTTAGGCAGGATGTCTTTTAGACCTGGGTTTAATATGTGATCTATTATGCCATACTTCCATGTGGCGACATACCGTTTTCTTTAGGTCGAAAACAATGACAACTATATGTTCATTCTGTATGAAACAATGTCTGATAAATTCTTGAAGGCTGACAATGAGATCTATTGAGCTACTCTGATGTCTGAATCCAAATTCTTAGTGAGATATTAGTTGTTAAGATTAGAGATACTCTTCTGTTGCTTATCAGCCGTTCCATGGTTTTCCAAATGGGGCGATGTGGTTTCTTCAAGGTTTATATATTGGTGTCACGGTTGCTTCTCGCCAAGACTGCTAAAAGTTACTAGTGTCCCAAAATTTGCCAAAAATGCCTAGCAGTATATTTAGGACTGTGTCTGGTTTGCTTTTCGGAAGTTTATAGAGGATATTATATGGCCATGCTGAAGTGTCATGGGTTTGATTGTTTGAGTTTTGTAGATTTTCCGCATTAGAAAATCTGAAATTTGGACCAGCCGCTTCTTTTAAGTTTGGACACGGAGGTAATTTTCGAATAATTCTTTCGTGACTTCACACAGAATGTTTCAGCCTAATTATTTTGCAATTTCTGATTCTGTTGTGACCATCTCATTAGATTTCTGTAATGTTTGATACAGCTAATTTTATGTTTGCTAATAATATTTTGGTACCCTGTATCGTACTAATTTGATTTAGAATTGTTCAGCATACAGACATACGAACTCATGCTTTCCTCTTGCTTTCTTTATTGGTGCGACCGTTTTATTTAGAAAGCAAACATTGAAGGTTTTTTAAGTCTTCTACCTTTTTCTTCTCTCACCGATATCTTTATGTGATCAAGGTTATGGGACCCCGAGTTTCAGAGTGGTCTAAAGCGCTGTCCGTTACGGATCACTGCCATCTCAAAGCGCTGTCAGTTACAGATCACTGCCATCTCAAAGCGCTGTCCGTTACGGATCACTGCCATCTCAAAGCGCTGTCTGTTACGGATCACTGCCATCTCAAAGCGCTGTCCTTTACGGATCACTGCCATCTCACCTCTGTCTGCGTGCGTTCGAGTCTAGGATTCGGCAAATGTGGATATATGAGAAAGCTTGCCAGTAGCTTCTCGTGGGTCGGTGTTTTTTTTTCCGGTAATTTTTTGGTTTCTTCCTCCACCATTAATACTGGCCGCCATGAATAGCCTATCGTGTTCTGAAAAATGGCGTTAAACCCAACAACAAACATGATCAAGGTCAGATTGGTTGACGATCAGAGTGCTTTAGCGAGATACATTAAAGAAAGAGACAGAGTACTGTAATGGTCATTTCATGTCCAGTAGTATTGAAATCAGTATGACTGGGAGGAGTCTGATTATTGACGATGATAACACGTTGATGTCTATCAAAGTGTCTAAAACAAACTCCATCATTTTGCGTTCCATTAAAAATTGACAGATATTAGAGCATGATCTTTTAAGTTGAAGAATAATTTCATTGATATTTGCCTTTGATTCTGGAAAATTCCATTGCATTATTGTGCCCTGAATATGTAGGTTGTGGTGTACACGGGACTTCTTTGAGCACGTCTTCGTAATACTCTCTAGACTCCCAAACTTGTTAATTTGATACGATCTCCATGAAAGTCGAGTACTATTGTTAATCTCTAGTTATCTTCACCTGCAATAACACTGGTGCCTGGAGGCTGTTGCTCTTTCGATGGGCCAAACTGTAGCGGTTTCTAAGGAGGAACATTAATAGTATTCTGTGGCATGCTGATTGTTTTGCTACCGTGAACAGATGTCATGATAATTGTTTTACTACCGTGAACAGAGATTTGCTGCTATTTTTCTGCGCTGTATTTAAGTGGAGTCTCGTTTGTAGCAACGGGTGTTTTATTGCTACACCGTCTCTTTGAGTCTTTGATAAATCTGCATTGATATTGGCATGGTTAGCTGTGGTCAGGAGGTTTGGTGTCGTGAGGACTGATTTTTGCTTGACCAATAAAGAATGCAATGACTGCCTGGGTAGAAAAAAAAAACTTGTGGCAGATGTTTAGTCCACCAGACTGCTATGGCATAGTACTTACCAACTGTGTTAAGTAAAGCATTGACTTCCGAAATTTTCATGACCTTGAGAAACTCGTGCGTTTTCCTGTTAGACTAGTTGGATCGCCTTTTCCTGTTTCCATTTGGGGCTGTCTATAGAATACGAGAAATGTTTTGTCGGTCAATGTTCAAGCAGAACGATCATTCGTAACCCTCCTGCCTGCACTGGAACAGACTGGTTTTCTCTTACGGCCATTTTTTGTGGTGGTCATATTTCTATCAACTAAAACAACGCAGAAGATTAGGAATGAATGGGCAGTCTGAGACTTACAGGAATACGGCTTTGATTGACGTAGGAAAAGAGGTCAAACTGAACGTCACTGTGTAAGTGTTCTTACGAATCAACGTGCCATTACGACGAATGTTGA